TTGTTATGAAAATCTGGTGACTGACTCTCCTTTGACTCTCATTTGACAAATGTTCTGAATCTAGAGATTCTGTAGTGTGGTTCTGGCAAAGAGAAACATTATGAAGGTGTTGAATGTACAGGGATTACAGATCATTGTAGTTACTGGCTTTTTTTCTTGTAAAGTGACCTAGCAGGAACTCCAAAGTCCAGTTACTCTCTTCGGAAGGTTCAGGATTCACTTTCCAGTGAGGACACAAACAGTGCCCAACTAAAGGTGGCTGCAGGTCTCTTGCTGACTTACCCTGCCTTGGGAGGGAGTCAAAATGGAGTGTTTTTATGACCTGTTCCATTTCTTTTTTTGTTATAAGTCTGCTTAGATTTTCTTTGTTAGTTTAAGTAGGTAATGAGTTTCTAAAAATGTGCTCATTCTCTCTAGGTTTTCAAATTTGTTTGAGTCAATTCTTGGTGATGTTCTTATTACCCTTTTTCTTCAGTTCTGTTGTCACATTATCCATTTCTTTTCTTACTCATGTTATTTACATCTTTTCCTTTGTTAGATTTACCAGTAACTTTACTTTATCAATCCTATAATTCCTTGGGTTGTTTTCTGTCTCATTTATTCCTGCCTTATTTTTTTTTTTTTTTTTTTGGTCTTGAGTCTGCAGGCTTTGTGTGTGGTTTTTTCCTAGTTGTTGGAGATAATTGAGTTAAGGTGTTGATTGTGGTTCTTTTTTGGTGAATATATGTATTACTGTAAGTTGACCTCTGCATATGGCTTTTGCTATGTCTCCCAAGATTTTAATATATTGTGTTTTCATTGTCATTTGCCAAGAAATTTTTAAATTTCTTTTTCTAGTTCTTCTGTTATTCACTAGTGCACAGAGTACATTTCAGTGCATTTGATTGAAAGCAAAACCAGCATTTGTAGCTTCCACCCAGGAGTCAGTGAAAAGAAAGGGTTCTTGTGTTGGAAGGTCTGCAGATGGCTTAAGTAGGTTGTGCTCAACTGCTGATTCCAGAGTTGGCAGTTTGAACCCACCTAGCAGTGCTGCAAGGGCAAGACTTGATTATCGGCTCTGTAAGGATTAGAGCCCAGGAAATCCCCTGGAGCAGTTCAACCTTACAGCTTGTCGGGTTGCTGTAACTTGGAGTTGGTTCAGCCCAGTGACCTTGATTTTGGTTTCTTCTGTGAGGGTGCCATAGGAAGTGTTGTCTGCTGTGCTGAGAGTCCTCTGCAACATTCAGTAAGTCTCAGGTTGGGTTGCATTTTATTCCCAATTAATGGGGAGGAACCAGCAGGACCCATGGAGGCCGCAGATCCTAGCAGGTCTGGGAGGCAGAAGGGTGATCCTGAGGCCTCCTCATGGAGGTAGAGAAAAACCCTGCCAGAGCTGAGTTTTGTGTGCACCATTTCTGTGTCAGCAGAATCATAATCTACCTGGAGGGAACAGGGGTTTCGTGCTGTTTTGTTTGTTTATTTTTGTATGAGCTGGGGTTGGAGTCCTGAACCACTCCAGCCCAGGATATGAGGCCTTTTTTAGGACTTACACAGTTCTTTATTAACTATTAATAACCATTAATCTGGATGAGGTATCCACAAGGTTCAATAAATAGAATAGTAATTGTCTCTTGAAAAGTATGTGCCTTTCAGGCAAATTAGAGGTCTAAAAGTCCAACAGATGTCATTGGCCTGAGTAACATCCTTCTACCTACAGCCTCCCCATGGTGGTCTGAGAGGTTAGCCCTGTAACTCAGACAGCAGATGTGGAGCAAAGATGGCTTGGGTGGCCTCTCAGAAGTAGGTGGGTGACAAGAGGCCCCACATGAGGTTTATGAGCAGAAGAGCCTCTCTAATTGCCAGGCTTTATTTTTGTGTATCTGCAGGTATTTTCTTTATGAGATATGTTTCTTCCCAGACTATGCCCAGGAATTTAATTTGGGTACTAAGTCTTAGCACCTTGTTTGTTAATGGCCTAACTGTGGCCCACATATGAATCCTTGGGGGACTCAGTCCTTGTGGGGTGGTGTCTTTGGACCCACTGAGAAAATGTCATCAATGCAGTGGAAAGCTAGTGCTTCCTCAAGGGAGCCCTGTTGGCCTAGTCAGTTAGGAATGTACTTCAAACCCAAAAGCTGGCTGTTCAAATCCACCAGCTGCTCCACAGGGGAAAGGTGGACAGTCTTATGCCATGTGATTTATTTCTTCTAAAAACCCACTGGAGGGTCCAGCTCTGAGTTGGTTCCAACTCAGGGGTAATGAGTTTGAGTTTTGAGAGCTTTCTCTGGCAGCAAGCTAGAGTATCTAGTGCTGCTCATAGAAACAGCACAGCTGTGTGTATTTAAAGAGCAGAAATGCATTGTTCTCATAATTTAGGAGGCTAGAAGTCTGAGCTCAGGGAATTGGCTCACAGGGAGGCTCTCTGTCTTATGTGGGAAGGAGCCTGGACTAATTTTCTGTACCCCCGCTTTCCTTAGTCCCTTTGGTATCTAGGTATGTCTGTCCCCTTCCTCCTTGTCCTTGGTTCTTGGTACCGATGGGTTTGCTCAGGTGCCAAACCACAAGATGTCAATTTGAAGTTGTCCACAGAAGAAGCCCTGGCAGTGTACACCACTGAGAATATCCAGTGGAGCAGCTACACCTGTTAACACTTGGCTTACATGGGCACATCTGACAGGGATGGTGTGGTTTTCTTTTTCACAACCCATTTCACATGGGGCAAATAGATCCTGCTCATCTGGGTGGGCCGGGATGCTGAAAAGGGCCTTTATTATGTCAGATTCTGCATTGCTGCCCTATCCCAGGAAGCAGCCTCTGGACTTGTCAGTGCAATGCAGACACTCAATATCCAGCGTGGCACAGTGGTCTTGGACCATTGGCACTCAGTAATGAGTCTACAGCCTGCTGAGACCTTGTGTGCAGGCTGGATAGAGCAGTGAACTTACTTTATTTTGGCAGGCAGAGAGGTTAACTCTTTTCCTCCTCTAGGCAACTGATGCTATTTTTGGGAGGCTCTTGGCTCTGGAAGTAGGAAGAGTTCACCATCTTCCATATGTTCCACTGTTACTGTTGCTGTTAGAAGCCATTGAGTCAAGTATAACTCAGTACCTATGAACAGCAGGTCTGAACCCTGTACCCTTTTCTTCATCTTTGACACACTTGAGCCCATTGCTGCCCTCACTGTGCCTGTCAGTCCATCTTGCTGGGTGACCTGAATGCAGAAATTACTGTTAGGTCTTGGTACATTCACTGCAGGGTCCTATCATGGGCTCTGTGAGTCCTGAGGCACTGGCTGCAAACCAAAACCACAGAGCACGACCTATTTCCCTTCCTTCTGGTTCAAGAGGCTGTAGAGAGCAGTCACCAGTACACCATTCAGAAATGGTTCTCCACCTACCATGAGCCCTGGCATAGGACATCTGCCCTCCCCTGGTACAGGCACCTCAGCCTAGCCTCTAATGTTACTAATTCTTTAAAGCCGAGCAGTTCAGAGAGAAATTAGCAGAGCTCTCTGATCCATCCACAGACACATCTTTGCACAGGCCCTTGTGGCAGTATCTCCCCCCTCTCCCCCAAGAATGTGTGACTGGTATTTTGGAGTTAGAGATTGAAAGAGCCAGATGAAGTAATGCACCCAGGGTGGCAACTGTACTGTCCCTAGGCTGGAACCTAAGGTAGCCCATGTGCGCTTCTGTGGGGTGGCAGTGTCCAGAAGACTACAACTGAGTGTAGGAACACCCTCCCTTCCTCGGAACTGCGTGACACAGTGAGAGGGTTTGGGGAGTGTGGTGACTGTTGGCACCCTTCTCTATACAATGTTGAGGCAGCATCACTTGCCTGCTCTTGGCACTGATGCTTGCATTCTTAGTCATATGGTGGCTGCTGTCAGGTTATACTCTGGAAGAGGAGGAGGTCTGTGGTAATGCCCTCGCATGGTGTCCCTTGCCCTCAGCAAGCTTAAGATTGCCGCTTTATTCAGACACACTTTACCAGGCCACTGGGCAAAGCAATATCAGACGAATCTTCTTTTCACTGACATCTAGAGAACTCACTGTGCTGAAAATGTCAGCATTAACAGGAGTTAATGCATGCGCCAACGAGCCCTCTCACTGTCTCTGATGCTGTCATTGAAAACTCAGCTGTACCTAAAGGGCTTCCTTAGCTTCCCTGTAACCCCTCTGTTGCATCTCTAATCTGAGCCATAAGTAGAGCACAGCTAGGAGGTAAGGCTAAAAGAAAAGGGCTCTCGGTTCCACTTAGAACAAAAAAGTTTCTGTGAGTCACCTGCTGACACTCCCTAACTCCTACTGGCAAAGTGCTTTCTGCTACTTCAGAGCAGCATTGTACTCCATTGACTACCCTGCCCACTACACCAGTTTGTCCAACTGGTCAGTTAGGACAGTGAGCCAAACTGATGCTAACAGCCAAGCCTTTATTCATTCACTACAGCCATGCAGGCAAAGAGACATGAAAGAAAGGCTCTGGCTTCCCAGTGTTGCATTTCCCCCATGGAAGGCACCAGAGAAGGGGGTCCAATGGATTAGGCATAGAGGGAATCTCCACAATGCCAAGAAGCTCTGAAAAACAACAAAGGTTCCTGCTGCTTCATTGACTGGATGATTGGGAGGGGATGGACTGGAATGGCAAAGTAGTAAAAGTCTTGTGTCTCAGCTGAGGCCCCAGGTTGTGCCAAGAGAGCAGAACTAGGATGAGTCTTTGCAGCTTCTGGAGATTGCCGTGCACTGATGGTCTACCAAGTCCATGTGGGGAAGACAGCATGCCACCTGCCAGGCCAAAGCTGTCATCATAATGGAAAACTCCGGTCTAGAGCTGAGTACATACAAATTTATCTTAATATACCCTTGATTAAAACCACAAAAAAGCCTTTTTGTAAAAGCATTGGTGTGATTTCTATTGCACTAGGAACCCAGGCATCCTTGGCTCTTGCACATTCTGACAGGATTGACTCAGGGCTGGCTTGTTGATAACAGCTGGTTGTGTTTTCTCCCTCCAGCCACCCCTGGGACACCGTCATCAAGGCTGCCATGAGGAAGTATCCAAACCCAATGAACCCCTGTGTTGTGGGAGTGGATGTCCTGGAGCGAACCGTGGACAGCTGTGGGCAGCTTCACAGTCACCGCCTACTCAGCACTGAGTGGGGTGTGCCCACTCTAGTGAAAGCGGTGAGCACAGGCTGCAGCCTCTGCTGGATCCACCTGCAGAAAGGAGCCTCCTGGGGAACTCAAGAAAGGATTTGGTTCTCTGTCAACTTCACTTAGTCATCCAAGCCTCAGTTTCAAAATGTGTCTCAACTCCATTTAAGTCTTACCCAATTCCCCATCCTCAATGATAGCCCAAGCCTTCATCCGAATCCTCCTTTCTTACCCACTGTTGACATCCTTCCAGCTTCCCTGTCCTTGGCCAGGGTCCTTGTTTGGTCTACTAACCACAAGCAGCCTGTCCAATTTCCCTCCCTCTGCTGGTCCATGAGCACAGCAAGCGTATGGCTTCTTTTCAAGGCCTTGGTTCATGTGTCCTCTTGGACTGAGGCACTGTCCCCTGTAACTTTACTTAGATGTCCCATTGGCACAGGAGTCTTACCTGACTGCCCTGTCTACAATAGCACTCCTTTCCACCCATTCCCTTAAACTACTTTATTGTCTGTCAGAGCACTTAATACTTTTTTTTACCTGCAGCTAGACTTGAATTCATTTGTTTAATGTCTACCTCACCTACTAGGATGGCAGTTCCTAAAAGACAAGGATTTTGTTTGTCTTACACATTTTCATATCCCCGTATACATTATTTGGTAGATAAATAAATGAATGTGTAGAAGAAATGTGTTTGAAATGAGATTCTTTGACATACCACTATGCTAATTTTGCTTTGTTTTTTTAGATTTTGGGAACCAGTAGGACTTTGACATACATCAAAGAACATTCTGTTGTGGATCCAGTGGAAAAGAAAATGGAACTTTGTTCCACCAATGTAAGCAATGACCTAAGATGAGAAAGGTGCTTGATATTTCTCGGTAATGGTGCGTAATGCCTTCATTTACTTTTATTTCCAGTCTACATTTGGTCTAAGTGATCTTGTATATTTAATAGAAAGGCTAATTTTATTTAGCAATATTTTATTTATCTCTTTATTCAAATATAATAAAGATGTCAGAAAATGTATGTAGTAGTGAGTTATCAGAGCTGAGCACATCTTGTATCCAGCAGGCAGCTAATGCTTAATTGTTGTGCCACCTGGGAGAATCTCTTTCTTCAGACCTGTAAGGGGCCTTAAAGACAAGTTCAGTGGCAAATATAATTACACAAGCAGAAAATGTGTGTTTAAGTTTATCACTGCTGTAAGGGTACATTTTTACATTTTAAAGCCGTGTGTATGTCTGTGTGTGTGTGTAGCTCTAGTGGGATACTCTTACAGATTTGTGCTTCTAACCCATAGGCTGTGCCTCTTTGGTGGTTCCTACTCATAAGCTACATTGAGAAATAAAGATGTGTAGTCTCCTCTCCTGTGATTTACCACTCCGTAAGGCCCATTAGAGGGCCAGTTATGATTCAATTTTGACTCAACAGCAATGTTGTTGTTAGTTGGTTTTATGTTCTGTCAAGTTGGAACCAGTTCACAGCTGACCCTCCAACAGCTATTCAGAGGTTTTATTTAAATCATGTTGAAGGAGAGGGCCCATCTTTCTCTCCTAGAGCAGCTGGTGGATTTAAATCCCTTGTTTTTAGGTTAGTAGCACAACTCTTTACCCAGTAGGCCAGGAGAGGTACTGCAATGAATGTGGAGGGTTTTTTGGTAAGTGTGTAGACAACAAAACACTTGCCATTTAAGCAGTTTTCATATGTACAGTTTAATGGCATCAAAGTGGTCATGTTGTTCAAGATCACCAGAATCTATTCTATTCCTTGGACTGCTTAAACTTTTTTTTTTTTTTTTTAAATTAGGTTGCTTATTTTTCATTTCAATGAACATCTACAGAGATTTTGGGATTCCATTCATTCATTGTTGCACCCTTCTCCCCGCACAAACCCCTCCCCCCTCCCCCCATTTGCTCCTCTCCTTGAATACTTAAACTTTTTAAAATAATGAAATATCATCTTCTAATGGAAGAGACTCTTGAGAAAATGTAAAAATTTTTATATTTTTTTTTATTTTTTTCATTGTTGATTGTGGTAGCTTAAGCTATATTTGACTATTTAAACTTAAATAAAATTTGAAAAAATCTACACCTGCACTAGCCACATTGCAAAAGCTCAATAGCCACACATGTTTACAGAGTACCTTGCTTGACGGAGAGGGGCATGCGGATGTAGAACATTTCTCCTGTTTCAAGAAACTCCACTGGACAGTGCTGGACAGAGCTCTAGTTTTCAAATGAATTGTAACAGAAAATATTGTAAATAGAAAAGAGAAGTCAGCTTTCTCCAGGAAGTTGTACTTGAGGAAATGAAGACACGTACATTCTGTCTGTGTATAGACTCAAATTCTGGCCATGAACTCTTAAGACATTGCCCTAATCTGTGGGGTTGGTATTGGTAGGGTGGGAATGGCTTCTTGCTCACTGACCTGGATTCTGAGTTGTGGAGTGTTATATCTGTTTCTGTGAGTGCTCATGGTGTTGGCACTTTGAGAGCATGTTGCAGAGAAAAGCCTTGATGGTATTTTGGGTTAGGGCTGGAGAGAGGATAAGTTTAATGGATTGAATTATGTCCTCAAATATCTGTTGTAACTCCTAACCCCAGTAGTGCTCTTAATCTCATTTTCAGATGAGGTTTGATTATGCCATTGAGGCAGTATTTGTGCAGGGTGTGTTCTACATCAATCTCTTTTGAGCCATAAAAGAGCACTTTAAGTAAACAGAATAGGGGATGCTGAGCTGTGTGGAGGGCAGTGGAGAATGGAGGAAAAGAAACTGACAGGATACAGAGACTGTCCCTCAGAGCCAGCAGAGAGAGAAAGCCTTCCCCGGGGGCTGGCCCCCCTTAATTCAGACTCTCAGACTCCTCAACTGTGAGACAAAGAAGTTCGGTAAAGCCACTCACTTATGACATTTCTGTTCCAGCAGCACTAGGTAACAATAGCAAGAAAGAACATTTGGGCTTCATGAAAAGGTATCTTCGGAGCCAAGAAGTTTCTTCTGTTCTGGTTCTAATAGGTTCTAATTTTGCAATGAAAGCATGTAGATTGCAAGAAATGCAAAAGAATTAGAAACTAAAGCTATTGTTTGTTTGTTTGTTTGTTTTTTTCAAGATCACACTTACAAATCTGTTATTAGTTGATGAGAGGTTGGTGTATACTCCTCATCCGAAGAACCCTGAAATGTAAGTCATTGCCTCCTGGTCTGACATCTTGAAATCTGAGGGCCAGGGCCAGCTTATCAGCTTCCACTCTCTGTTCTTTCTTCTGCAGGACTGTGCTCACCCAAGAAGCCACCATCACAGTGAAAAGCATTAGCTTGGGCAGCTATTTAGAAAGCTTAATGGCCAACACAATATCTTCCAATGCGAGGAAGGTATGTATTTCACCCCAGTGGCTTGTGTGTGTTCCATCTGATACATGCCAGATTAAGGGAGTGAAAAGCTCTGTTCCTGAAACCCTGCTAAGGATGGTGTTTTTCATTAGCTGAGTTCTTAAAACTACCATATTTTCTACGTTGTTGTTGTTGTTAGGTGCTGCTGAGTTGACTACGACTCAAGACAAACCCGTGAACAACAGATCTGAACCTTGCCTGATCCTGCCCTATTCTCACAATGTTTTAATTACTCCAGCCCATTAACTATTTAAAAAAACCAGTGGCAGGGAAAGGCTAGCCCAGGTCTGAGGGCAAAGTGTGGTCAAAAAGAAAAGTGTGGAGTAAATTTGGAACAACTAAACATATCAAAGAGCTAAACAGAACAAATGCAGGAAACCTAAACATCAGACAGACATTATTGTGTTAAGATTATCAGTGAAGATATTCTTTCATACTTAGTGGGGTAGCCAAATTAATATTAAATTACTTTGGCTGAACCTTCTACATTCGTGTTTCCCTGAAGACAACTGCCATCTTTTTCTTTTGTCCCTCTCGCAGAATTTGGGAGTAAGCTTTATAGCAACAGATAAACTGAAGGAGGAAGCATGGGCTTGCACAAAGCTGTGACTCTTCTATTCTTCAAGGGTCACCGCATTAGAGATTGCTCAGGGGCCCCTCTCCAAGTCTGAATATAAAGACAGAAGAGGTGATATAGGGGAGCTCTGGTGGCTTAAGATTAGGAGTTGCACTGCTGACTCAAAAGCTTGAGGTTCAAATCCACCAGCTGCTGTGTGGGAGAAAGATGGGCAATCTCCTCCTGTGGAATTTGCTGCCTCTGATTACCCACTGGGTGTCAGTTCCAACCTGATGATACATAACAACATAGAGAGCATGGATGCTCTGAAAGGACAATGTACAAACTCAAGGTAATGTTGCTCAACAGAACAGAGCCTTTGTATTGTATTGTATGGAAAATCTGTTGCCAGTGACCTCTTTAAAGTTTTAAAATGCAAGACTGTCACTTTAAAGCCCAAGGTGCACCTAACCCAAGCCATGGTATTTTCACTTGCTTTATATGCATATGAAAGTTGAACAGTGATTAAGGAAGACTTAAGAATTGGGAAGGAATATTGACTCTGCTATGGAATGCCTACAGAGCACACAAATCTACCTTGGAGGAAGTGCAACCAGGGTGCTCCTTGGAGGCAAGTATGTTGACATTTCATCTGACACGCTTTATACCTGTTGTCAGGAAGATTCAGTCCCTGGAGAAAGGCATCATGTTTGAAAAAACAGAGGGCCCACGAAAGAGAAGATGATCTTGAATGAGATGGAATGTGACTGCAGCAGTGGGCTCAGGCACAGCAAAAGCTGTGAGGAGGGTGTGGTGCCTGCAGGGCTGTGTTCTGCTCTACATGTCATTAGGCATTGGAACCAACAGCAACCACCTTAGTCCCCCTAGTTTGTCCTCTACCATCATTCCCTCTCCCTTTTCACTATTTGTTTTTTTACTTTCGTCAGGTATGACTTCATTTTTCAGATCAGTAGAATAATGCACTTCCCTTTCTTCTATAATCACAACTTAATGGAAGACTACAAAGGATTTGCATTAGTCTAGTCAATTGTAAAAGAGTCAGTATAACCTATTTTTTAGAAAAAGCCCCCCAGATTTAGGCAAGAGTTAGGTAAGTCCAAGGAAGAGAGACCAGAGGAATCAGAGCAGCTACAGAGGAATAACAGGCAGAGTCAGGCACTGTCTGCTCTCTGTGGGTGCCCTGGTGGGTGAGACAGATCTCAGTCCTCTTTATGGTTTTAGTGCCCAGCTTAGGGTCTACAAAGTCAAAGTGAGGGCACTGTTCTTGAGCCCCTATACAGACCCCCTGGCTGCTTCTACAGAAGGAGAGGATTATAAGCACGAAATATGGGCCCTGTTAGTGCTAAGCCTCAGGAAGTGCCTGTTTGGGGGAAAGGCTGCCAGTGGGTCTCTCCTAACACCTTGGTGCTTTTCATTCTGTCATTCACATTACAGGCCTCCAATTTGTTGCTGGGAGTGAGAGAGGCAGCTGCTCTTACACCATATTGAAACCTTTTCTGTACTCCAGGGGTGGGCTGCAATTGAGTGGATAATTGAGAATTCTGAAGGCGCTGTCAGCTAATGGGCTCTGCTGTGCGTTGGGATGAGCAGTGATAACAGCAGCACGCACGAACCGGTACAGTTGAGCATTCTTCCTTCCAGGTGCTTGTGCGCTAGTGGGGAGAGACACTTATGAAATGAACTGCATGCTAGTTTCTAGCCCTGTGCTCCTCAGTGGCTTCTGTAGTGGAGGAATCATCACTAGGCTCCTCTTTCTATTAGTTTTCTTTTCTCCAGGAAGCCTAATTTTCAAGGGAAACTGGGACATTTGTTACCTAATATCTGAGGAAGGTACTTCAGCACACTGATCAATAACTTTGCTTCAGCAGTTCTCAAAACATGTATCTACTTAGTAAAGAGGCTCTCATTAGTAGGTCCAGATGACAGAAGGGCTCTTTTTGGGTAAAATGTGGAGATTTGCACATGTTCATGTAGAGTATTGTGTGTCCTTGGGTCAGTAGTGCAGCTGCTGGGGGCAGTGGCACAGGGTGGGGCCATGGGGGTGGTCAGGAAGCTGGCCTTTCTCTTCCTTTGTGATGAGCCCTTGCTTGGCCTCGTGACTCTTGGTTGCTTCTCTCTGTGAATGAGGCTTGTTTGTAGCATTCCTTAGTGTTTCACAACTACTCCTTGATGTCCCCTGACATCAAGGCCCAACCAACAGAAACTGGTTTGACATTTAATTGTTCACCAGTCATCAAATATTTGTTCCTCTTTGTTGAGGGAGTTTTTACCCTACATGAACACATATGCTGCCTGCTTGTTGGGTGGAGAGGGGAGAAGCTGGCCATAGGGTCAGAGGTGGTGCTGCATGCTCAGAGATGGACCCTCATCCCTGTGAAGAAGGAGGACCAGGCCACTCCTCCCACCAGAAGGTTTTATTGGTGGGCCTGACCTCAGGGGAGTGCCACTGTGAGTTATCATAAGTACTGGGTGACACCTACCTTAGTAATACCCATGCAGGGTGCCAGGGTTCCCAATAAGGTACAGCCTACACTTGAAGTCTTTCTGACTCAGGTTGATTGATTTTGTGCCATGGTCTGTTTTCCCTTAGCTTTAACACCCAGCTGTTTTCTGTCAGCTTTTCCTGTTATTAAATATCTTCTCTCTTTTCAGATTACTTCACCATTTCCCTCATATGCCCTTTAATCAAGAGTGTCCTCACCCTTCCACATCTCTTCTGTGGATGTCTGGCAACTCTTTCTCATTTTGGATGACATCTCTCTGCCTAATTCTTTTAACTCTCAAACACTGTTCAGATTTGTCCTTGCTTCGAAGTGTAGGGTATTGCTGCCATCTGAAATGGCAGCACCCAAGGGAGCACATAGAAAATGACTTGTGCTTGTGAGGAACTCAAAATAGAAGCTAAAAACTGTTTGCAGTTACCTGTAAGGTTTTTAGAATCCTCAAATTAGAGCTAAAATTAGGATTGGTTAGGAAGAACAATGCATTCTGCTTCAGGCTGAGATCATTTTGCCTGCTGGTCTGGAGGCCTGTAGTCCCAGTCGTTTGGAAGATCCCATGCTATTTTCTGTCATTCACACCCATAGTTAGGGAGGCAGGCATATCCCTGTCCAATCAATTTAGCAAATGAGCAAAATCCCCACCAACACTTATTAAGCTAGCAGCAAAATTGCTGCCATGTTAGCTATACATTGTTTCCAATTCCTGCTTTGAAAAGTAAAAAGTAATATTTTGAATTATGAAAACTTTAGGGAGGGCTCTCTTATAAAAGAAGGATAAAACTATGTTCCACTGAAGTCTTTTTATTAGATACTGCTTTTTTGTTTTATAATTATATAATAATATTTCTAATCCAAATGTCAAATATAATAGAAATATAATCTTGTGTCTATCTCATCCAAATTTAAAAATCATTTTAAGAATAAGTTTAAAGCTTTGAACACCAGTGGTTAAAGACCAGATGAGTTGGGATGGTGACATTAAGGATATCATCCATAAAAACAGAAAAAGATCACTAAGAAGACAGAGGAGAAAGGAAAAACCCAAATTGATGTCAGAGTGACCCTGGAAATGGCATTAGAGCATTGAGAAGCCAAAACAAAGGGAAGAGATGCTGAAACAAAAGAGTTGAACAGAAGATTTCAAAGGCTTGAGAAGACAAAGCAAACTACTATAATAGAATGTGCAGAGACTTAGAATTGGAGAAATACAAGAAAGAACTCCCACAGCATTTCTCAGGCTGAAAGAACTGAAAAACAAATTCAAATTTTAAGAGGCAATACTTAGGGAAGCTCTAGGTAAAATATTGAATGATCCAGGAAACATCAAAGCATGATAGAGGGAGTACACAGAGTCTCTGCACCAGAAAGAATTGAACAACACTGAAATATTTCAGAAAGTCCCATATGATCAAGAACAGAGGTTAAGAAGGAAGAAGTTCAACACCAAAGGCATTGGCGAAAACTAAGGACCCAGGAATTGATGGGATACCAATTGACATGTTTCAGATGACAAATGCAGCTCTGGATATACTCACCAGTCTGTGCCAAGAAATTGGGAAGACAGCTGTCTGGTCAACTTACTGGAGGAAATTTGTTTTTTCTCAGTCCCAAGAAAGGTGATCCAACAAAATGTGGAATTTATAGAACAATATCATAAACAAACAAAATACTGCTGAAGTCTATTTAAGAAAAGGCTAGAACAGAAAACAATTATGAGATATCATTTCACCCCAACATTAATAGCAAAGTTCAATAGGGCAGAAAACAAACACTGGCAAGATATAGAGAGAACAGAAATCTTATTCACTGGTGGTGGGAATGTAAAATGGTACAGCCACTATAGAATGTGGTCAGATGCTTTTGCAAAAAGTTGGAACTAGAAATATAGAAATACCCTTTGAGATTCCAAGCTGGCAGTGGTGGAGAGAGCAGTGTGAAGAGCTGGAGGAGCAGCAAGCTGCATAGAGATGGGCCACTACAGAGACCTTCACACTGCACAGAGACCCACTGACATGGTGCGACTTGGACAGTAGGAATTTGAATCAGAACTTTTGTTGCAGCAAATAGTTTTGGAGCTATAGAAACATAGAGCCATGCCTCGGGCCTCACCACAAGGCTGACCAAAGCCAGAAGCGTCTCTCTGAGCTACTGTGAGACCCAACACCAGGGGAAAGGTTAGTGGGGAAATTGAGAGTTCTCTTATGCCCCACTAATAACAAGTGGGTCTGTTGGAATTTGACTGAGTTTTCTTCCGCCCCTGCTGACAGCCCATGATTGTTCAGGTTGGTAGGAATTTGACTGGGTTTTCTTGGGCAATGCCGATTTCCTGGGAGAGCACCCAAGAGTGAGCCCACTGGTGGCAATTTGGCTGAGTTCTCTTGGGCCCTGCCAAGTGCCCAGGAATGGGCGGGCACTGGTGGGAATTTATCTGAGGTTTCTTGAGCACTGTCAACTGCTAGGAGAGCACCCAAGAATGAGCAGGCCAGTGGGAATTTGAAGGAACTTTCGTGGACACTGCAGACCAGCTAGAGGCAAGTGGATCGTTAGGAATTTGACTGAGTCTTCTTGGGTCCTGCTGGACCCAGGGCCCTGCTAGAGCAGGGGCCGCTGAGTGAGGGCACCTGGGTAAGGGCCACTGGGCAGGGATTGCTGAGCAAGAGCTGCTAGGTGGGAGACAGACGGCTGGAATTTGAGTAGAAACCCACTCATGAGCATACCTGGACAGCTGAGGTCAGAGTGTGTGCTGCAAGTGGTTGACCCACTCCTGTGGTTGCCCTGCCCCACCCTCCATGCTGACTCCATCCCCCAATTCGGCTCCACAACTGTGCCTACATGTCCAGTCAATCAACTTTTCTTTGATCCGGGCCAACTTAATCTGACGTACCTACAAGAAGCTGCTCTCACAGGCCCTGAACTGAACTTTCACTTGAGTCAGAAGGTCAGAGAAAAATGTAAGAGGGGAAGCTACCAACTGATTTCTAAAGCATTGTCTTCAGATCAAGAACATATCAATGTCTTGAAGAAAGGAAGCTATCTCACACACTACACAAGCACAAAGCAAGATGTCACCTCCAAAAGGTGACACAGTATCAGTGGATTTCCTGAAACCAGAAAGTCTGATGGAACTTTCTGAAACAGAATTTAAAAGAACAATAATTGAATATTTTCAGTGGACGAAAGACAAACTTGAAGAATTACAGGTTACTGTAAGCAAAAACCAGGAGGAGCTTTAAAAAACAAGCCAGAGCAATGCAGATAAAACAAACTAGACATTAGGGACACTGGAAAAACAAGAAACCACAATCCAAAATATGAGGTCCAATGTTTCAGATCTGTCAACATGATGGAGGGACACATGAGCAGAGTTGAGGAGATGGAACACAGAACCAGTGAAATAGAAGATAGAATTGTCACTACTGATCTGCTAGAGCAAAAAGCAGAAGCAAAAAGGAAGCAAAAAGAAGAAAACCTAAGAATAATGTGAGACACCATCAAGAGAAATAACATGCTCCTTATTAGAATCCCAGAACAGGAAGAAGCAAGCAAAGGCACTGAAAAAGTTGTTGAAGAATTACTAGAGGAAAATTTCCCATGGCATAATGAAGGATGAGAATATATATTCAAGAAGCCGAGTGAACACCATATAGAATAGACCGCAAAAGAAAAACACCAAGCCATATTACAGTTAAATTTTCCAGAATCAAAGATTAGAGAATTCTGAAAACAGTGAGGGAGAGCAGATAAAATTAAGTGCCAATTTCTCATCAGAAACCATGCAAGCAAGAAGAGAGTAGAAGGACATATCTCAAACACTCAAAGAACACAACTGTCAACCAAGAGTATTATACCCAGCAAAATTGTCCATCAAATATGAAGGAGAGATCAAGATATTCTCAGAAAAACAGTACTTAAGGGAGTTTGTAAAAACAAGACCAGTGTTGCAGGAAACACTGAGAGATGTCCTTCTTACAGAGATAAAACAGAAGGCAGCATGGACCAAAGTAACTAGCAACAACAAAAAGAACTCAACAAAATGATAACAATAAAATCCTGTCTTTCA